GACTATTGTCAAACCTGACTACGATAACCGTACGACCATTGCAGCACATTCCGACCATAACAGCAGAAACCGCAGCACCAGCCGCATGTGTACAATGGTCACTCAAGAACAAACGCAAAAAAAAAACGAATGTGGCGCGCAGCACGCAGGATCCTTTTGCGCTGTTCAACCGGCCGTTTCCATGGCGAAACAGGCAAGGAACAGCCAACGGCGACTCTTGCCGGCCACAGGAGGCGGAAGCCGCTCAAACTCGGGGACGGCTCATGACTTGCGATTCCACACCGAACCATACTCGAGGCGCCACGAGATTTGCGCTGTAGCTCGAGATCAGCATTTTAAACCGGGTCGGGCAGGGGTGGGGCATGCGAATGAAACTTCCACGGATCGGATATTGAACGATGAGACTGAAGCTAAAGCTTCAAAATTCCCCAAGCCTTGGACGTGTCGGTGGGCATGGTACAATAGGATGTGGTGGTGTGTTGACAAGTGGAATGGACGGGGTGCGAGTAAAACGTCCAGGGCCCAGTCATGAACATGGCAAGTAAGCACCCCTCCCAACAAAAAATAATGGTGGGCGGGTCGCTGGGGGACCCCAACAAACAAAGCATGAAAAATGAAAAAAAAATATCAATGACAAGTGAGCCAGGCGCGACAGGCTTGAGGGAGGAGGCAAAAGAAGCATAGAAAACCCACCGTGGTCGTCGCTCGCTCTGGGCCGCTGGAACATGTCACATAGCACTGCATGTCCAGCATTATTAGGTAGGGCCCCATGTCCATTGCTTGACATAAAACAGGTAGCGCACATCGCCTCTCATGCAGCAACCCGGTGCACGGGTAGTCTCTTACTTAGCAAGATGCGGAACCACTGCGGTTGACGAAGTTCGATATTGTTAAGACCCCACCAGCGAAAGGCGAGAGAGAGACAGGTAGAGGTAGACTAAAAGAAGAGAGCGGAGAGAAGACAAGACATTCACTCTCGAGAAGACACTCACTCACTCTCGTCCCTTTGGCCCACCGCAAGCCTGTCAGATATCTGTACCGAACGGCGGTTTACGAAGTGGGCTTAGCAACAACAAACACAACAACCACAAGTCGCCGAGTTGGAACCAGATAGGTCGTGGCGAGCGGGGCGGCGGCGGCGGCTCACAGTAGCCCGCATCAAGGCCCCACGCACAACAGCAGGCTCAACCCCTGCTTTGAACCTTCACAAAATCTTATCTTCCTGAAAGAACCTACCATTACCACGACCTTAGTTTCCGGGCTGCGATACTCGTTCCGGGCCTGACAGGGACACGCAGTCCCAAATCATACCGACATAACTCACGACCTCGGTCCCATCTCTCTTGACGGCGTGAACAGTGCCTTGCACGGTGGTACGCACCATCTCCCGCACTTCGCCACCGGGTGTGACCCATAGATTCCCATGGGCTCGACCTTGCTGCGCGTCAGCCCTCCTGTAGCCTTCGTGTGCTATGCAACCCCCCTGCTTTTCCGATGCCCAGCAATCGCTTTCCTTGTAAGGGTTGACGTTTGCCCTGTAGCACTCCACCGCTACTTCCCTAGAGTCACGTCCCACGAATGGAATTCCACTGCCCACGTTTACGAACCCCGACACTAACAGGGTGCCGAAGTCATTCCCAACTGCTAGCGACCCAAACACTCCCGAGCTCAAAGCTAGCGCGGACGCCGCCAGCACACCGTAAGCGGAACGGTCTAGGAACAGGAAGGCCAGAACATAACCGAGTATAACCGCTACAGACCCTGCCAGAGCCCCCCCCCAGCGGAGGTAACTCCGGGCATATAGCTCACCGGACCTCCCCACCTTTATACCCGACGAGGAGAGGGGGCTCGTGTCAAGGTCGAATACCGCATTGATGTCCCCGTACTGTTGTATCAAGTTGGTGCCTGATATCCCGATCATTTGCATCAGTGACAGTCTTCCCGGGAGAAGGATGCTGTAGCGTTGCATTTCTTGTTGCGCGACCTTGAGCCTGGCTAACTTGTGAGCGAGTTTCGATTTGAAGTAGACGAAGCCCTTCGCATCCAGCGAATACCGGGGTTGCGGGGTGCCTTCGATGAGTATCACACTAGGCTCCCCCGGGGGGCATACCGGCAACATGTCTTTGTACTGTTGCACCACGCGGGCCCCATCATCCTCACTCGACACCAAATTGTACGACCCTTCCATCTCGGCCCAACAAAGTAGCCACCGGACGCCTTGGTCCGGTGAGACTCGATTACGGAGGGCGTAGTTCGGGGCTTGGGTCCCGTCGAACAAGTCCGCGAAATCACAGCAATCCGAATAGTCCTTAGACTTCGCTGCTGCATAAACCAGCCTGGCGATTGCCAATCCTCCGTCGGTGTCTGAAGCTGCCAGATATTGGCCCAGTGACGGCGTCCGGGCTCCTCCGATATAGTGACGGGACACGGCGACACACAAAGACCGCGTTAGAATATCATGTGAAGGGCCGAATCGGTTTGACAGGATCCTCGAGGCTCTGGACAGTGTGTCCGAAAAACTCTCCCCGTCGACCTCTGCAACCAACCCGCAACCGGCCTCCGATTGAGCGGATGGAAGAAGGAACTCCATACTTAGCGTCCGGACCCCGGAACGGTGACGCCAACGGCTGTGCCTGCTGAACGAGAATCTGGTAGGTCCCTCCGGCAGGCGGCACAAGCCAACAGTAACTCCCGCTAGTCCCCCAGGTCCCGACGACGTTTTGTCGCGAGCAGTATGACTGATATGGCTTCGCTATAGGTGGTATAGCAGCGCCTATCAGGTCCTTGATGTGGTGGAATGTTTAACGTCCGACTTAATTACCTAGCAGACGGAAAACGGATAACGAGGCATAAGCAGCGGGAGAAGCATTACGGTCCCGAGACAAGGAAACACCGGCAAGAGCACGAGACGTAACAGGGGCAGGCGGAGCTACGGACTCCGTAGCGTGCGAAGCGGCAGTGAGACGCTGGCTACAACGTGCAGGAGCGACAAAAACTTTCGGAACAAAAAACTTCTGTGGTTGACCACGCATCTCTCAACAAACAAGCAGGCAGCTGCCAAATTTAATATTAAGACTTTTTGCTGGGGTCTGTCTGTTTTAACGTTTTAACCACTTCTACGTCGTGTTCTGCCGCTTCTATGAGCTTGATGCTGACCGAGATGGCCGGTTGAACGGAGAGGATCTCATCAAGTACGACGAGCATGGCTTGAGCCGCCTCATCGTGGACAGGTAAATGGGAACATCACTGCGGAAATATCTGGCATGTGTTTGGCTTGTCCACGACAGCGATCGAACAACGGTGAAGTCGCCCTCCGCTGCGCTGTTTCAGGTCTACTAAACGCGCTTGCTTGCTTCTGTCAATCTGAACACTGCGGACTTATGGTTCGTTTCGGGTGGAATTCCCCTGTGACATATTTGCTTCGAGACGATCGTATGTGCTTGCGTGGGGATGTGCATCTCCAAACCCGAGGGTTAGTTTAAATTGGGCATCTCAAATAAGCCGTGTAAGTAGCTTTTCTGTTTCAGGCACACGTGTTGAGCGCATGCGCGGAATGTCGATAGATCAACAGTGACTAGTAACCCAGAATAGATTCAAGTGTTCATAAACTGATTTATTGGAGTCCAAGTTGTGACATATCTTCCGCGTTTGAACTAAGAAATAAAACATGTTTTTCAAGCGTAATTGAGATCGGCATGCCTTATGTGTCCGGAGCCACCCTCCGAAAAGAATACGGAATCTCCAATTAATCGGCAAAACGATGGAGAAGTAACGGGACCATCAGAAGCATCGAAACGGCCGGAGGACACTTTCGTTAGTCCTCAACGTCAGGTCCAAAACCAAAGAAGCAAAAGGGCACAGCCAGAGAAGAAAGATTGCTTACTGTCGAGTCAGCTCTTCCAAGCAAAAGGAACCCCTCAGACGCCAAGAAGAGTCGTTCAAAGAAAGCCACCCGGACCACGAAATCATCAAGGACATCGGGTCAGGAATCAACTTTAAGCGACGAGGATTTCTGCGAATGGTTGACTCCATACTGCTAGGAAACGTCGAAGAAGTTGTTATCGGGCATAAAGATACAGACTCTACCGGTTCGCCATTGATCTCCTCGGGTGGGTATGCAAGCGAGGAGACACAAATCTAGTGGTCCAAGAGCATGTCCTACGTTCCACAGAACAAGAGCTCACAGAAGATCTAGTGGCCATCATTCACGTCTTCTCCTGCAAACTCCACGGGTCAAGGAGATACAAAAAGCAAAAAGTCCAAGGAACCGAAGGTCCCCATGAGATCCAGGATAGTACGGATCAAAACGACTCCCGAACAATCGAAATCTCTTCGATTCTGGATGTCAACACACAGGAAGACCTACAACGAAGCCCTGAGACTGGTGAAGGACAAGAAAGCCAAGGTTAGCATGGTCCTCAAGAAACTCGTTGTGACCAGAAGGGACTCGGATGAAGGGACCAAGTTCGAACGAATCAAGACATCACCCGCCCACATCTGGGTTTCTGCGGTAAGAGCCCTTTTCAAAAACTTTAACAGTGCGAAAGCCGCTTACAGGGAGAGACTGAGGAAGGTCAAGAACGGAAAGCTGAAGAACAAGAGGAAGCGGCGAAAGGACCAGAATGTAACCAGGAACAGGTTCAAAACCAACAAACGATTCGAGGTCAAGCACAAGTCCAGGAGACTCCTTTGAGTTGGACTCCAAGAGTATTCGTATGGACAAGAAGAACCTGGTCCTGTTCGGGATGAACCTGAAAGTATCCGAGGATCTCTGTGAGTCAGAGACACAACCTGAACATTCCCGTAAGATCGGATATTGTTTTGGGAGGTGGTACTTTATCATCCCTGAAACCGTTGAAGCTCAAGAACCAGAGCAAGACTCCAAGAAATCGGAAGAAGAACCAAGAATCGTGGGTATCGACCCTGGACTACGGAAGGCGTTTACTCGTGTTTCGAACCACGGGAGAATCGATGAAATCGGTATCAAAACAAAAGGAACCATGGAAAAACTCAGGACCAAGTCGTATGGGATCTTGAAAGCCATCAAGGACTCCAAAGACGACAAGAAGAAGAACAACCTCGGAAGAGCCTGTTACCGCGTTAACGCGAGAGCCAAGGATCTTGTGACGGACTTCCATTTCAAGACCATCAAGTTTCTAATGGACAACTACGACGTGATCATCCTCGGAAAGATCAACGTCCAACAGCTCATGTCCATGAAGAGTCAGAACAAAACAAACAAGGATCATTTCAGGTTCCTGAGTCATTTTTTGTTTCGACAGAGACTTCTCATGAAGACCAGTATAACTCCTCACGCGGTAGTGATCCAGGATGAGTCTTACACGACACAAACATGTGTCAAGTGTGGTGTACTCAAAAAGGATGTTGGTGACGCTGAAGTGTACAAGTGTTCCAGGTGTAACTTGTGTATGGGTAGAGATATTAGTGGAGCATCGAACATTCTCCTTCGGTGTGCTTCTGAAACACACCAGGAAGCAACAAGGACTTCCGGGAGAAAGCGAAAGACCACCTAACAGGTCTCTCATGGGGTCTCGTTATTGCCCCTTAAAAGTTTGGGTCTTACGGAAGCAAGGAACTTATCCCAGTCAACAGTATGCGGATCTCTTTGTGAGGAAGTATATTGGATAGTTTCAATTCGCGTTCAAATTGACATCTATATGGTTTAATCGTTTGACGGGATTGGCTAAGTTTGACGTAAAACCAATAAACGGTTGCGAATCTACGGATCGGATGTCGCGTTTACTGGGTGCGGGTACAGCATTGGCGTCGAAAGCGTTGCCGCCGATGGGCCTCGGGTACGGCCTAAGTTCTAACCGAGAAGTTTTTCCACGGCTGGTACATGATTGATCTCGCCCAGGATAATGTCAGTGGGACCGCGACCCTTTCCCCAAGGGCGACGAAATGAAGATGGGTCGGATCCCCGAGCGACGATGACATACGAAGACTATGTATGCTTCATGCTCAGCGAGGAAGACCGAGGGAATGATTACAGTCTAAGATTTGGACGGGGACGGACGCATTGGCCACACGATCCAAACTGCGACTATAGGAGTACCAACTCAACAAACCTACACAAAATGATCCATACGGGACAAAAAGATCACGCATGTGACTTCCCGGGGTGTGACATGAGTTTCAGTAGTTCCTCGCATCTCACCCGCCACGAGGAGACACATTAAGTCAAAGGCCAGATTCGTCACAAGAAGCAAGAGAAAAGAGTCACCAAGATGTTGACCGTGCGGGTACGATTTTGACCCCGAGGTGACCATCAACGCCTCCAGAAAAGAGTGTCTCCCAGATACCGAGCGTGCCTACTCGCGGTTGGACTATCACATCATCAACGCCACAAAGGCTATTGTCCTCTTGGAGGTGGACGAGGAACAACACTTCTGGTACAATTTATCGTGCGAGTTCAGCAGGATGTCGGATGTCCGAGCAGCCTTGATCCAGGCGGGTTACGAGCTCCCCATCTACTGGATTAGGTACAGCCCGAACGGCAAGTATCAAGTGGATTTCGACGAGGTGGAAGTGCCCCGGGCGGAACGCGAGCTCGCCTTGAAAGCCAAGCTCGAAGAAGTGTGCTCTCCTGACTTTGACCCAAGCATCAAGTCCAGATGCATTATCTTTACTGTGATCTCATGTCGAAAGAGATGGGGCCATCAATTCAATATGAAACTGATTTCCCCGAGGCGATGAGGGGGGTTGTGAGCTGGGGTTGATCACATGGGGACAAAACCCACGTCACTTATATTCGTCAACGTAAATTCCGGAAAATACCGAACTGGTATATCCAACGGCATAACGTTTCCATTGCGGCTGACCCGAGAAACATTGTTCATACTAAGCACTCTGCTGTCACCAGAATATTTCTTCATGTAAAGAGTATCCAGTGGCAGGCAAATGTATTTTATACCATCCAATTTTACTCCTTTAGTCTTGATTGTCACATCGCCCTCGTCGGATATCTCGTAGTCTCCACGAACTAACGGGGTTGTGTTATTTTCCCCGTGTCTAGGCACTTCTTGAAATAATTCAAAGATGTGATCACCTCTAGACTTGATGAACTTCGTTTCCAGTGAATCTACAACATCTGCTATCAGAGGCATACATATTTTCCATCTTGGCCAGCTTCTCCCAGTCGTCATTTTCTATATCCTTACCACGTTTTACAGTGTTAGACAGATGGAATTTGTGAAGCTTGAAACTTGTCTCATCCTTGCGAATCACAAGACCTAGATTGGACAATGTAAGTGTGATACCATCGAGGAAACAAGGTACCCCATGTGCCATTAGTGCGGTCACCAGGGCGGGATCATCCAATATATCCTCCAGATTTCTTACCATTGTGATAGCAACTCGACGAGTATCGTCGCGTTGCCTGTTTGAAGCTTTCCAGTTTTTTAGCCGTTAATAAAGTCGAGGGCGCACACCGCGACACGCTCGCCCACCGAGCACGACAAAGAGTTCTATACACAGAGTAGATGACATCAGATATCACACCCCCTGAACAATTTTAAATTTTCAAGGCTCGATTACTCCACAGCTGATATAATATCGTGGCCGGGCGGCGTTGGCACCGATAGCTTTCCGACACAATCCTATCGTATGATATCCTCGTCGCCGTGGACTAACATTACTAGCTGTGAATATTGATGATGATGCGATATATTGTGTCACCTACTTCTGCCGGTACATGCCATGCATAAGAACAACGACTAACATCCATACTCCAAGTAGTAGGTAAGTTACTGTAGTAGTTGAATTGAAACCTCTCATTACCCATCCATGAAGAAGTCGTTTTATACACAAATAGTAAAAAAACAAAAAGTGCTGCAAAAACTATCCATGGACGAACCCAGCAGTACCGTTGTTGTTGATGTCTTCACAATTAATTACAAAAAATCGTGTTCGTTCTGTTCTCCCTACCCAGTACCTTCTTGTACCTTCGTCTGTTGGTACTAATATTCTGTATGATAGTCTGACACTTAACTTGACGCGGTCGATTCCCGCCGTGGTCATAGGCTAACTTACGCAAAAAAGTTATAGAATATGATGGACCCGAAAAAGGGTCCGCAAGTCGACGACAGATTAGTCTAGGACCCTCCGCTCGCTTCAATACGCTATGCGAGGTAGTAACTATAGACGGGACAATGAAGCAAAAAATGAGCAAACGAATGTTAGAGGCGACCTCACGCGCACCCGAAAAAACCGTCAGTCTTCGACCGGCATATCTCACTACGCCCATCCATGCGCACGCACTTTTTTGTGGCGAGGGACTCCATACTTTCAAGAATCATCTCGTTGATCTGTTTTTTTTCGTTTACATACATACATGTAGTGCGCACGTCACACCCGAATGAAAAGGAGGCCACACTCAGAACGCGCTCTTCCGCACGCTGGGAAAGAATCCGGGACTAAATGAATGCGGACCCCTGAGGATGCGTTTTTCACAGTAGGTTTCCTCTCCGAAACGAAAGAACCGGACGGGAGAGAGGGAAAAAAGAAAAGAGAAGAGGCGTAGGACGCGTTCCCCGTCATGGACATTTCATAAGAGTCGTATTGTGGTAGTGGCAGGAACCTCTCTCTGCGATCAGGTCAGAAGACCACCAGTCCCCGGAGCTCTTCTGTTGCACCCACCCATGGACGCAGCAGTAGTAGCGCATGTATGTCCTGTAATAGACCACTACTGCTGAAATTATTGGAGACCACAAATGAATCATGCCGACAGGTGGGTCGTGGGTGGGCGGGGGACCCTAAGAAACAGTCAGACTCAGCCATTTTACATCCTCACAGTTTCTTGCAAGCAAGAACGAAGGGCGATAACAAAAGAGAGACCGCCAGCGACAGGAAACAAAGAAGGAGTAGAGGAGAGCAGAGCCAAAGAAACAAGTGAAGAAACAAGACCCCTTGCCGCTCTGACCCACTGGACGCTTTCCATGTACCGTAGAAAACAGCAGGGGCAGCACCCACAACCTCACATGCAGTAGCCGGATACATGCACGGACTGGTACGTAGCAGAAGTTTAGTCTCTTTCTCCGGCAAGAACAATAACGCCCGGGCGAACTTGAACTTGTAGTCACAAGAAATAGCGTCATGATGACGTCATCCATTCTGCTCGCCATGGGAGATGCGCATCGTTACGCGAGGAAGGCGTTAACTCTTCGCATAGAATATGCTGCAGTAGACCCTATATCCCTCAAGCTCAACCACAGCTATATACCCGATACATGGTAGCATCATATCCAGCTATAATAGAAGAATCGAAAAAAAAAAATGTTTTCTTGGTGGCGAAGCGGACCCTCTTTGTTGTGACTCTCCAACTGCTGTTCGTGGATGGCGACGACATGGCGACACAGACACAGACAGACAAAACCTAGGGTTTGACGTCGGTCTTATCCGCCGCAGGAGGTGGAAACTATACTCAAAGTCGGGGAGGGGTCGTGTTTTGCAATTCTTTACGGAACCGTACTTGAGGCGCCATGAGATTTGCACTGCCGTAGCCGAGGTTATTTGTCGGCAGGGAAACATAAAAAAAAAAACTTCGGTGGACCGGACCCTCTTGTTTTCAACTGGCCGACTGTTGTTTGGATGGCGAGACAATTTCCGTCTCCTTGTCCGTCACAGGAGGCCAAAGCTGATGCTCAAACTCGGGGAGGGGTCATGGTTTGCGAGTCCCTACCGAACCATACTCGCTCGGGGCAAGACGTCATGGACATGCCAAGAAAAACATCCCCCCAACGAAACCTAATTGCTGAAAGTCATGGATGGGTGGGTGAGTGGGGGACCCCAAAACAATGAAACAATCGCAGGGTTCGCGTTGTTCTGGGGCTCTACCGGCGAAAAACACCGTCGACGCTCTGAACCGCTGGAAGCTGTCACACAGCACTGCATGTGCGGCGAACCGTAGGGGCCATGCGCATTGCTTGACGGAAAGAGGCGGCGCCCATGGCCTCACATGCAGCAGCCGGGTACACGGGTAGCCTCCAATTCAGCAAGACGCAAAACGATTGCCGTTGACGTTCGATGTTATTGGGGACCCTAACGGCGAAAATGCAACAGAGAGAGAGAGGTAGACTAAAGGAAGGGAGACTCGAGAAGAGAAGGCATGAACTCTCGTCGAGAAGACACTCACTCTCATCCCTGTGTCCACCGCTGGCTTGAACACGTGTAACGAACGGCGACATCCGATGTGCGCTCAGCAACAACAAACACGACAAAAGAAAAATAGTCGTCATTTCCGAACTGCTGTGGAGATACTCTAAGTTGGTGGAGACTTTCTTTCTTTTCTGGTATGAAGTGGCAACAACGAAGAACACGACTATCTTTCTGTGTAGACTAGAAGCACCACGGACGAACTATTATCTCAATGCGCTTGCCGTCGCGATAGATGCGCAACGCTACCGCTATACGAACGAGCAGACTGTTGTCAAACCTGACTACGATAACCGTACGACCATTGCAGCACATTCCGACAATAACAGCAGAAACCGCAGCAGCAGCCGCATGTGTACAATGGTCACTCAAGAACAAACGCAAAAAAAAAAAAACGTGGCGCGCAGCACGCAGGACCCTTTTGCGCTGTTCAATCGGCCGTTCCCATGGCGAAACAGGCAAGGAACAGCCAACGGCGACTCTTGCCGGCCACAGGAAGCGGAAGCCGCTCAAACTCGGGGACGGCTCATGACTTGCGATTCCACACCGAACCATACTCGAGGCGCCACGAGATTTGCGCTGTAGCTCGAGATCAGCATTTTAAACCGGGTCGGGCAGGGGTGGGGCATGCGAATGAAACTTCCACGGATCGGATACTGAACGATGAGACTGAAGCTAAAGCTTCAAAATTCCCCAAGCCTTGGACGTGTCGGTGGGCATGGTACAATAGGATATGGTGGTGTGTTGACAAGTGGAATGGACGGGGTGCGAGTAAAATGTCAGGGGCGCAGTCATGAACATGGCAAGTAAACACCCCTCCCAACAAAAAATAATGGTGGGCGGGTCGCTGGGGGACCCCAACAAACAAAGCATGAAAAATGAAAAAATAATATCAAAGACAAGTGAGCCAGGCGCGACAGGCTTGAGGGAGGAGGCAAAAGAAGCATAGAAAACCCACCGTGGTCGTCGCTCGCTCTGGGCCGCTGGAACATGTCACATAGTACTGCATGTCCAGCATTAGGTAGGG